GTGTGTGTGTGTGTGTGTGTGTGTGTGTGTGTGTGTGTGTGTGTGAGTGAGTGAGTGAGTGAGTGAAGTGGTTTCTATTAGGTTTCTATTATATACAGGATTTACAGTAAAAATTGTTCCAGCATCTGTGCCTTTTCAACACACACACACACACACACACACACACACGCCAGCCAGCCAGCCAGCCACATCATTTCACACACTGCTCAGGAAAGTCAAACAGAATTCCATTCCCATTCTCTCTTTACCTTTTGAAGAATATTTTTCATGGTAGACTTTATAAACTTTTTCATGTGCAGCAGCTAGAATCTGGAGAGAGATCTGTGGATCATCATATGGCAGACTCTCAATGATCTCAGGCAAGGCGCTAAAGGTGAGCCATATGTCAACCAAATCGCCGAAAGAACGGAAGTTAAACTCAGCATATTCCACAAATAAATCAGCAAAGGTGCTGTGCTTCCCAAGTGTGACCACAACCCCAGGCAAATGTTTATGATGTAGAATTACCACTGCTTTAAGGTTTGCAGTGGTAAGAGACTTAAGAATTTCTCTATAACATGCAACTGCAGCCTCTTCTGGATTCTTGGTGTTTCCTTCTGGAAGGATGTGCGCCCATGGCATAAAAATTTTATAATGGGTCACTCCTCTTGCATGAAGGTAGGAGAAATACAGTGGCAGAGAAGCCAAAATAGGCTGGTGGCACAAACAATGATGTCCTTCATCCACAATAATATTAAGAGCCTCCTTGTCTAAGGGCTTGTTTGGAAGATCTAAATTCCTTAATGACTCATTGTTTAGGGGACCAGCAATGGCAATAAAACCTTGAGCTAGTTTCCAGTCGACCCCACAACAAGGAGAAAAGAAAAGAAAAATTAACACTACCTTACAACCCACATCCATCTTTGCTGACTTGCTTTTGAGAACAGTTGCTTTATGCTATTTATGCTAGAGCAGAGAGAATAAAATTAACCTTTAGCTTGCATTATCTAATTGTGCAGATAACATGCCCAGGAGCAGCTAGCACGAGGATGATAAAACAGATATATTAAAAAAAAAAAACACTTCACAATTGCCCTAATTAGCCGGGCATAGGTTATACAAACAAAAACGTGCTTACCTGGCTTACAGTAAGGCAGATGGCTGTTTGAGTGGTGTTAGTCTTTTAGATTCCTCTTCTGGTGCATAGCTCAGAATCCTTGGAACAGCAGCACCTGTTGAGGCTGCACCTGTGCCCTTGGAGCCTCATGAGCACTGTGCTTGAGGATAGAAGCTGGGGAAGCTTCACCGCCAGTAAAGAATCCCATGTGTCAGGACTCTGAATTACTGAGAAGGGAAGGCAAATTGTGGAATGTATGCAGACAATCCATCTGGAAGAACCATAGTGCGGAGTATGTTTCCACTCTCTTTGAATGATTGTCCACAAAGATTCCACTCTCGGTGACTAGCAAGCAATATTCCATCTTGGTGGTGAGTAAAGGGAGTCCTATCTAAAATACCAGCTGAAGGACAGCTCAGGTGAAGCTTGCATCTGACCTAGGGACTTGCACTAAGGCACACTGAGCAGAGAAGGTGTTGACTACACTTTTGATCAGTGCCCTGCAAATTTCAGTCAAAGAAGTGTAGTGCAAAGAAGCAGCAGAAGATGCTCTGACTGGGTGCATCCAAGGGGCAGGTCATTCTTTGTTAAAACACAACAGGTTCATACACATGCGGTCGAAAACTCACTTTAACAGTCTCCCCAAGGATATGAGTTGTTTTCCAATCTGTTACATAATGCAAACACACACAGTGAAACTGTAAGTGACCTGAGTCCGTCTAGGTGAAAAAACACTTCTCTAATCACATCACATTGGAAACCTTGTTTCACCTGAGGTTTAGAAAGAAAGCCCACTACAGGCAGTCCCCAGGTTACATGGATCCGACTTACATCGGATCCCTACTTACAAACAGGATGAGGCAACCCCGCACTAGCTGCTTCCCCCTAGCAGACCAGGGAGATGCGAAGCTAGCGCCTCCCCCAGCAGACCAGGGAAACGCAGAGCGGCTTTTCTAAGCAGACACCTCAGCTTGAGAATAAAGGACTGAGGGAAGTGAGGTGTGGGAGAATAAAACTGAGCTCTGGAGAAATGTTTGGCTAGAGTTTCCCCTACAATATGTACCAGTTCCGACTTACATACAGATTCAACTTAAGAACAAACCTACAGTCCCTATCTTGTACGTAACCTGGGGACTGCCTGTATATGAACAGACATATTGAAGCTCTGGGGCAACTAAGGGCAGGGACTTTAGATTAGCTCATCTTTAAGGACTAATCTTTATGAAAGACAGCATGGGAGGCAATTATGAAAGCCTGAATCTCCCCAATTCTTGTGATTGAGGTTATGGCCACCGGAAAGGCTGTTTTCAAGGAGCAGTGAAGAAACAAGCAGGTAGTAACACACTCAAAGGAAGGGATTTGTTCTATTTGTACTAGTTTGTTATTAGAGAGCTTACTACATTGAAGCAAGATGCACAGAATGGTCCCCTCCTCTAGGTTTATATCAGCCAGCTATCAACCAGGCCATCAGGTCCAGGTGAAGGTCCTAGTCATTGTTGAGACAACAGATCAAGGTAAGAATCTTTAAGATGAGTTGCTTTAGAACAGATGGTAGAACTGTTGAGGCCAAGTACAAGGACACACTGCTCCAAGTTGGGACTCATTGTGATGGTAATCCCTGATTTGTCTCAATTTCCTGAACAACTGCAGAACTTTGCAAATAAAGTCTATTGTTAGAGAACCCTATCTCTGCAGACAAGCTGGAGAACTGAGAACTTGAGGGATTACTCATGGTCCTCCAAGAAGTCTCTGCTAGATGTGTTTGCTAAAGGGTTCTGACAACCCAGAAAGCAGAGAGATGAGGCTGACAAAAGGCAGGATACTCCAACTCCACAGATACATGACTTCATGGTACAGAGCAGGTAGAGATGAGAGTCTTAACTACAGGAGGGATAAGTTCCATATTAGCCAGTCATCAAAGAAAGAATACACTTGAATTCCTTGTCTCATTAGGTTTGCTGCCACTACCATAAGCAGGGCTCAACAAATAATGCAATCTACTCGCCCGTGGCGAGTAGACTGCAATCCGGAAGAGCTGGGTTTGGGCAATCTGCACATGCACAGATCGCCAGACAACGCAGCTGGCGAGCGGGGCTAGCCGCGGTTCGGCGAGCCCTGACCATAAGACCAAGGAGAATACAGCTTGAGGGCTGTGGATAGGCCAAAAGGGAAGGAATCTGTACTGGTACTGTGATGTTCCTATCAGGAATTGTAGGGATCTTCTGGTGGCTGGAAGTACGGAAACTGGAAAGAAAGTGTTTTGGATGGACAGCCATAAATCAATCCATAGGATCCAAGACAAGAAGCTAAAGTGACCCAGGTAAATTTGAATGATGGCTGTAAACACCTAGAGACTTCAAAGACCCATGATGGGTTTCCATCTATCTTTCCTCTTAGGAAGAAAGGATGGATTAAAGTTAAGTTGTAAGTCAAAAGGAATTATTTGGTGGACATTTTGTGGCCTGTGTCATACAGAGATCAGACCAAATGAGCACAATAATCCCTTTTCTGGCATTGGTTATCTATGAAAGTAAAAACCTCTCCCTCTGAATTCTTGGGCCACCTCTCCCCAGTCGCAAAAGGAAACCAAGCTCTTGTCTCAGACGCATCTTGTGAGAAGGGACCCTAAGGAGGAATAGGCGAGGGGTTGGAAGACTCTGAAGGGCAGATACCCTAAGTGTAGAATTTTAAGGATCCATTCCTTCCAGGTAATCTCAACCCAAGCGTCTCTGAAATAAAGCAGGCAATTGTGAAACTGCACCTACAAATCCATAAATGGACCAGACATGTTCTCAAGAATTGTTTTCTGGTTGCTTGCCTCTGTTGGGGGGCAGTCAAGGTCAACAATCGCACTCGTGGAAACATTGCCTCTTCCACAGTCATAGGACAGGCATTGAGGGTGATCGGTCTACAGAGGTCTATCATTTGAATGGAGATCATGGATGCTGCTGCTGTTTATATGTAGAAGTTGGAATTTAGAGTCCCACAAAGTAAGGGAGTACAATGCCATGTCTGTGCCATTACTGATCAGTTTCCCTGAAAAGACAAACTCTTGCTGCCTCTCTGCCGTGACTGAACTTAGCTCTCGAGAGTCATTAAGGGTGGAGAGTCTGTCAGGGTGGAGAGTTTGTCCTGTAACAGGAAATCATACTTTCCAATAATTGCTTGATAAATGGCAACCCGTACGAAAACATTAGTCAGGACCCCCTCGTGGACAAGTAGTTCAGGTCTTTGATCTCTCTTGGATAGTTTGGACAATGAGACACTCTAGGAGGGAATGCTGGGAAAAAAAAGTTTACATCCACTAGCTAGAACATGATATCTCCTGTTTGCACACTTGGGAGATTGCAAAGTCACATGTAGGGATGGGACATATAATCCTTGCCTGTTGTAAAATCCCTTACTTGATTGGTCGGGCCATTTTACCAAACAATGAAGGCTATAGAATGTCCAATCATTTATGCTGCTTTTCTGAGGCATGTACAGAGCATCTGCTAATATCCTCATTGGATCCTACAAAACAGTTCATTCAATGAAGCTAGAAATGGAATCTTGTTCTTCCTTGCCCCTTAACAGGATGAGAACAGCAAATGGTTTGAGGTCTTCTCCAACAATCTTTTATTCCTCTTCCAACATTTATTACCAGAACTGGTGCTGGAGCCAGCTTGCTTAGTTGCTTTGGAGAAGATCTTCATGGAGTCTGCTGAGGAAGCAATTTTCCTAAGGAATGGGCTGATGCCCTCAAAAAAGAGACCCTTATGACCAAGGTTGACAAAGTTATTGAGGGGAAGGAGGGCACACAGGATGATACAGCTTCAGTGGTTCCCTTGTGGATCCAGAAGATTTATGGATCTTCCCTTGACTACCTGTCCAAATCCAACTGGGTTACCCATAGCAGGGAAGAGTCACATTCCAGCAACAGCCGCCTGCTACATTTCCTTGAAGAGGATGAGAAAGCTAAATCCTCATCCAAAGGTGGGGCACGCCAGTCCAATGTCCCCCTGCCAAGTGAACTCTATGGCCAGCTCCAACAGGTAATGGAAGGAACCAGCTCTTAGTTTGTCCAGGAATGGGGACTCCAGTACCGTGCCAAGTACTGCCTCTATGCTGATAAGATTTGCTATATAGATGAGTCCACTGAGATGCATGTGGCAAGAGGCCTCTGTGGTTAGTGCTGACTAAACTAGCACGTGTGTCTCCTGAGATCACTGATGTTAGAGTCATCTGGTAAGTGTTCACAGTGCCACAGAAGGATCTGCTGCCAGCGCAATACTAGCTGCTAGGGCTATGTCTAGACTGCAAGCCTCTTTCGAAAGAGCCTCTTTCGAAAGAGAGCGTCTAGACTGCACGCGGAATTTCGAAAAAGCAAGCCGCTTTTTCGAAAGAAAGCACCCAGTGAGTCTGGATGCTCTCTTTCTAAAAAGCCTGTTTGCTTTCAAGAACGCCTTCTTTCGAAAGAGCACTTTCGAAAGAAGGCGTTCTTCCTCGTGGTATTAGGTTTACCACCGTCGAAAGAAAAGCCGCATTCTTTCGATTTAATTTCGAAAGAACGCGGCTGCAGTCTAGACGTAGGTGAAGTTTTTTCGGAAAAAGGCTACTTTTCCCGAAAAAACCCCTGAGTCTGGACACAGCCTAAGTGTCTGAAGCAATCATCTAGGAATATTTTACCTTAGCGCTTGGGTTAGGCTCAATTTTAGGACATAATTTTTGTCTTGTGACTGGATGGGGAGCTGAACTTTTGATCTTTGGAACTGTGGCCCCTCTTCTGGGTTGGTATGTACAAGATTACAGATTGCTCTGAATCTTTCCTGTGGCAGTGAGGCTCGACAAGTAGTGGAATCAAAAAAGGCGCCTATGAAGTGGATTTGTTGGGTAGGTGTTAATGCTGACTTGTGTCTAGTTATTTGTAGGCCTAACTTCTGTAAATCATGCAATATCAATGGTGATACAGTAATAGGAGAGGCCCTAGATGAGCTGCCAGCAACTGTTTCTTCTTGGTATAGGTGTTTGTATGCCCAAGGATCTCAGGGTTGCTCGAGAGTCCTTCATGGAGTGGAGGACCTCACTGGTGTTGGTAGCAAAGAGTTTGTGCTCATCAAATGGAAGATCCTCAATTGCAATGAGGATTTCCCTTGGGAAGGAGGAAGATGAGAGCCAAAATACATGGCACATTATGACAGCTGCGGCTATGGACCTGGTGGCTGTGTAGTGCAGCTTGGAGCTCTGTGCGGGATAGTAATTGGCCTTCAGAGACCAGTGCCTGCAATTGTTGTTTCTTGTCTTGAGGCACATCATCAATAAAAGTTTGTATTTTGGAGCAGTTTCTGTGGTTGTATTTCACTAATAGAACCACGTAATTGGCCACCCTGAATTGCAAGGTGAAGGAGGAGTATACTCTATGCTCAAATGTCTCCATTTTATTATCTTTGTCTGATGAAGTGGTCTGGAATTGTTGGCATTGCTTGTTCTTCTGATTAGCTGCTTCTACTACTAGCAAGTTGGGAGCAGGGTATGTGTAGAGGAATTCAGTGTCCTTGGAGGCAACAAAGTACTTCCAGTCCATGTGGTTGCTTGTGGGTGCGATGGAGACAGGGGTCTGCCATACAGTTTGTGTAAGCTGGCTTCATTAATGGGGACAGCTATTTTGGAGGTAGAAGTGGCTTGCAATAGGTCTGAGAGTTCCTGTTGGTTATCCGAGACTTTCTCCAAAGCAATATTGAGGTTGCCTACCACCCTCTGGAAGTGGGAGAGTTCATCCGTGGATGTGGTGGGCAGCTTGGCTTGCTGGGCTGAAAGGGGTACACCAGTGGCCATAGGTGAATCGTCCCCTGCGATTTTTGTTTGTATGT